CACATCACATCACAGCATCCATCGCAAAAAACCCCATTCAAATAATTTTTCCTTGCAACAACATCAACAACATCATGCTGCTAAGACAACAACATCAACAATAACAACAGCAAAACAACAACAACCGAACCACGACGCATCAACAATAAATAAGTAGGAACGGATATAATCGTAAACAACAACAATTTAATCGCCGTGCGTTTGATGGTGCGGTGAGGAAAAAAAATTAAAAAAAAATTATTGTGAACGAAAATGTGAACACGAACAAAACTCGTAAAAAACATACAACAAAAACTATAGAAACGACAACCGCAACAACCACAACATCAAAAAAACGACAACCACAACAACCAAAACATCAAAAAAACGACAACCACAACTGAAAATAACAAGAACGTTCATAAAATACATTTTCAAGTGCACTGAAAAAGAACCCAACAAACAGCTTCACAACTGCAAATGGTAATAAAACAAACCCACCAGACATCTGGCTGACTGACGCCTATTATGTAACTAACACAACAAAATTTGCTCTTTTATTTATTGCATTACATCAAACACGTAAATAAGCTTTAAGTTTCAAAAAAATTAAGAATGAAAAATCAATGTAAGTGCATTTTGCGGAAAATATTTTACATATTAACAAGGAGACACTGAAAATACATATTTAATCATAAGAACGCGAGCATGTTTCTCTTTCTTTATCTCTCTCTCTCTCTCTCTTTATCTCTCTCTCTCTCTCTCTCTATGTGTGTGTATGTGTGTGTATGTAGTAAGTAAGCATATTTGTTCATTTGTTTGAAGCGGATCCATCCATGCGCTAGTAAAGTAACCGGCCGAAGAATATCGATCCATTCGCAGGACACTGGACTAGAGGAACAGTCGGTCGATTTCATTCATTCGGCACATACGAGCGCACGCAAATGGAAAGTATGCAGGCGAATACGAATAGGCAATTCACTTGTTTGTGGAATCGTTTAGATGGTATGTGGGTTGTATGTGTATGTGTGTGTTTGTGTGTTTTACGTGCATGTATGGGTACATCTGGAGTGTGTTGTGTGGTATTGGAGTCAAATGCATTTACTTTTGATGATGACGGTGATGATGGAAAAAGATGTTGATGACGCTGAGCTGATTTTCCTCACGTAGTTTCAGTAAGAGATGAGACAAGTGTAAATCAATTAGAGATAGGTGAAAAGGGAAGGGAAGCATTGAATGTCATCTAGCACTTCCGCGCTTACCATGTATCATCCGGCCATATCATACAGTATCAAACTGTATCAAACTGGATCATACCATATTATACTATATCGTAATATATCATACCGTATCGTGTCATATGTCGTATCGTATAGTATCATATATTGTATCGTATCGTATCAAAGCAATAACTACATCAGCTCGTTAGCATTAACAACGAAACCAACGACAACAAAACTGGCAGCCATAAAAAAAATTACAACCAGTAACAATAGTAACATTAATGACATCAGTAACATCAATAACAATAACATCAACAACCGTGGCAACATCATAAAAAAGAGCGAAAACAAAAGGAATATGACCAAAATCGACAATTATCGAAAAAAGATATTTGCGAAAAACAAAACCATGGTAACAATAACAGATGTCGTAACAACCACAGCACCAACCATAACATCAACTACAGCAAAAGTAACATCAAAAATAACTATAACAATCATGATGATATTAACAGTAATAGCAACCGTAACAACATTGACAACCATAACATTAACAACCGTAACAGCAAAAGCAGCAAAACTTTACTGTCTTTCGGCATCAATTCAGCGAATCTCTTTTCATGCGCACATGAACACAAATATGTATGTATGCCTGCATTCAGTTGTGTATATTGTATAACATGGTTCACACACACACACACACACACACACACACACACACACACACACACAAACGCACACACAGACACACACACGACATCAACTGTCAAAACTCTATACAAGAGTACAAAGAAGAAACGCGGTATAAATGAAAACATGATTTGTTGGCGACTTTTTTTTTGTATTTGAAGAAAACCTTTTGAAAAACTATCGTGATTGAGTATATAGGCATTCTATTATATTATATTATTCGATCAGTTGATCATCAACACTTTACTAACGAAGGGGAAGGTAGGGAAAACGAACGCTCCGTCACTCTCTGACGTCATATTAACATTAGATAAACAAATGAAATGAAAAAATTTAACAACTAACGAATATAATAATATCATGAATGCCATGGGCAACCTAGTATATTTAAAACACATCAAGCAATCAGCCAAGCAATCAGTTAATTTAAAAAAAAAATTAATTAAACAGCAAGACAAAAAGAAAGCACCGAGTCAGTTTGGCAAAAATCAACGAACGAAACAAACAATCAACCCACCAACCACCAACAAATCAACCAAACAAGCGACCTATCAACCAGTCAACCAACCGACTTATCAGTCAACCAGCCAATCAAGCAATCGACTACCAGCCAACCAACCCATCAGTCAGTGGTACACATTAATAACCAACGCATCAAACAACCAACTAACCTTGATTCAAATACCAACTCGCATGAAATCAACTACTTTTAGGACATAGAACAATATATATATATATATATATATATATATATATATATATATATATATATATATATATATATATATATATATACATACACCAATGCCGGCTGACAATTTTTAAATTTAACATCGACAAAAACTCAACAGACATGCATTTATAAAAAGCAACTAGATGGAATGATTTGGACTACGGGGCTTAAGTAAAGTAGTTAAGTGCTACCATTGCCTATATAACAAAAACGATTAAAAAATTGTTATTAGTATTATTATTTACAAAATAATAATAATATTTGCGTGTTAAATAACGTTTAATTAACTGGAGTCGTGTCGTTAATTGAGTAGTTTAATATTTAATTAATTAATTTATTTGATTATTTAATCATTTAACATGTTAACAAAAATCACAACCTACCTGTTTAACCAGCAACACAACACAAAACACACGCGTAAACAAAGTTCATTTGCAAATATTCAACAAAATAACATCTTACTTTCTGCTCTACAGAGGTTGTTTTTGTTTACACTATACACACGCTATATATGCATACATAAATACATGCATGCATGCATGCATACATACATACATACATGCATATATACATACATACATACATACATACATACATACATACATACATACATACATACATACATAAAAAACGAAACGAAATTTTATTTATACATACGTACATACATACAGAAAGACAGACATACATGCACACACACACGCACATACATACATATACATATATATAGGCTACATACTTACATACATATACATATATGCATATATATATATATATATATATATACATTAACAATATATAGTAAAAAATACAGTTTCAAGCATGCATATGTAATGTTTTTACGCTATATACACATGTGTGCGAATGTAATTGTAACGCAAGCTATATGTCGTGTCTAAATATAATGATAAATATTAATAATTATTACACACACAATTATATATATATATGTGTACGTACATACATATACATACATATATGTATATATACATACACGTGTGTGTTTGTTTGTGTATGCATGTGTGAAAATAGAGTTTAATACATTACATTTAAATAAAGCGATCCTTCAATTCAATAGTAATAATATACATATATATACATATATTAACAGTAATAATACTCTCTTCATCATCCTTCAGCAGATGAATGAATGTTATATTCAATGCGTTGTGTAGGGTAATGTTGTGAAGGCATAAATAAATCATTTTTAATTGTACGCCACATACAAACTTGCATGTGTATGCAACATACAAACATTTATTATGCGCTATATGCAAGATACAATCATGTATGTGTATTACTATTTGTCTGTTACAACTGGCAAGTGTGTGTATGTCTAATTTACGTTAAAATAAACGTAATAATGTTATAATGTTAGTAAATCAAACGCGTTTGAGCATGATCAACACATATTTCATAAAATGTTGTAAACTTTTCCTATGTGACAATTCTGTGTGTAAATGTGTGTAAGTGCTTGTTTGTAAGTGCTGGCGTGTTTTTCTCGTCCTAACACAAGTGTAACATTTTCTAATTGAGAGTGCTGCTTTTAAAAGCCGATAAAACAGCAGCGAGTTTGTAAATTTTTTCAACATTTAAGCCTATTTTTGGCAACGAAAACTTATTCAGTTGTTGTTAATTGTAAGGATAGCATGCACGCAGATGTGAGCCCGTATCTCGTGGGACATAAAAACAAATGTTTTCAATTCAACGGTATTGTTGATGAAAGTAGCATACCCTGGTATTACGTACATACAAACATCTAGCTGCACGTACTAATACCCATCCATGAAAGACAATAACATTTCATAGTTTACAGTTGTATATAACGTATTCAAGTAGATATTTAACTATGCGCTCGCACTTGAGACGTGATGGATTTGTCAGAAAACGTAAGCTGGCTAGCTACTCTCGAGATTGAAAAGCACTTTAATTTGGCCTCATGAGGATAAAAATATTTTAAAATTTTATTTTAATTCAAGAATTCGTCGCAGAAGAAAATTATGTCACTTGGATGAAAATTTTTAAAAATAAGTTACTCTTATTGTGGTATATGAAATAGAGAAATACCCACCCAGTGTGTTTGAGTGCAGAGACAAGTAGGCAAACGTACACACACACATACGTGTCCATTCTTACCAAGAATTATAAATCAATCAACTAATTTGAAAGCAGGAAATTAACATTAAAAGTTTAAAAAATTACCTCTTTTGAATTGTTAGTTTGAGTGTCTAAATTTTGATGAACTTTGGGTGATATAAAACCTTCGATGCTATGGTTAGTTTACTTACAAATGAAGGATTAGTTCTATAAACACCTGGGGAATGAATCGCGTAAACAGGCTGAGATAATTTTTTATTGGGGATTTTAAGGAGGGTATTTCAAAGTTTGGCTTCTGACAACAACTTTTCGCTTTTCACCAAATTGAAATGCCGTTTACTGCTAGTTTTCGACAGATTGTTGTAGTGCTTCGACCCGATGTTTAAACTCTTGCCAACATTTTTTGCAGATTTCAATGAAGTCAACCCTCCATCAGATAGTTTGTTACTATTATTCATTGTAATTCCTATTCTGAGTTCATTGCCGATGAACGATTTCATGCCAGTGCTTTCACTATTTGTACGTGAATCGGCAAAACTTTGTAATCTGGTATTATTTGCTTTAGCTGATGAGCTTTGTGGCTTAGAAATCTGTTTGGAGCCAGAAAATTTAGATAAAGTTCCAAAAATTATTTTGTTTTCACAATCATTGTTTTTTACGATCAGTGGTATTTCACTGAAATTTGAAACTGAATCTCTAAAACTTTTTTCAGAAATGTAACTAGAATTTCGTTCAGGTTTAGTTGATGACAAAACAATCGATGCTGAAATTTGACTTGAACCTGGTGAACTTGCTCTTCTTCTTCTCCTTCTACTCTTTTTTCTCATATTTCCATTATTCAACGATTCTGTTAAACCAGTAGAAGTTTTTACTTTGCTCTGATTAAAAACTTTTGCATCAAATTCTTCCGAGTCAACGGGAGGTACAATTTGAGAAGGTAATTCAATTGGACTTCTCAATATCATTTCAGTTTTATATCTGTCGCTTTCTGATTGTTTAATTTTGTCGTTTGAATCTATGGGAATTTTCAATATAATTCCAGTTTTGAATCCATCACTGTCGAATTTTGGAACTTTGGTATCTCCAATATTTTTCACTATATACATATCAGTTTTTTTTTTAACCAAACTATGTTTTTTCCTAAGAATTTTTAAAACCTGGGATGCTTTTTGATGAAGGCTTTGTGATAAAAGATTTGTTGGAGTAATTCTTTTTAATGATTTGTCAACATTTTTTGTATCCTTCTCTTCCAAATTTTTTTCTGATACTAATTTCATTTTCGCCTGATCAAATGCGCTCGATACTTTTTTTCTTGGTTGTTCTAATTTTGAATCAATAATTTCTTTACATGGTTTCAAAGTTGGAGCAGATTGAACAATGTTTTTGAATTTGGATGTTTGTAATGTTTTTGGTAACATATTATCTTTAACTTTCAGCGATCCTGCAAATTCTTGGTTTTTTATTATTTTTTTAACTTTTTTCTCATTTTCTTTATCGGCAACTTTTTGCAAAACAACGCTCGAAGAATCACTCATGCTGGATGTTGAACTGGAAATTTCACTTGCACTGCTACTTCTAACGGAAAAAGGCCTAAGACGCTTGGATCCAGCAGTCAAATCAGAAATAGTCGAATCTGACTTTGATTTTAAAAGAATTGGTTGGAATTCATGATCTATTTTATGTGGAGCATTAAGTTTTTTCTTTGAACGTTTTGCATTACTGTCCAGCAACTTATATTTCTCCATTACTTTTTTCTCTTTCAACCTTCGTTTCGTCCTTTCTTTCTTCTTTTTAGCCAGCTTGTCTTCATCTTCCGATTGCCTCTTACCGTGTTTGGAAGCACTTGACCGTTTTTTTTCCGCTTGAATTTCTTTTTTTAGCAATTTCTGTTAAATCAATTTAAACTTTTATTTAATACAAACTTAAAAAGTTGAACAGTATTTAATAAATTCATGCTTCCAATGAAAGTTTAATAAAAAGGTACTTTTTCGGGGGCTGCTTGTTTTTTCTTGGTGCAAAACCAGTAGACCAAACAGCTGAATTGATATAAATTAATATTTTATAAAACCTCAATCATCTTAACAAAAATATTTAAAGTTAATAATCGTCAAGAAGATATGCAAATATTAAATTTTTGAAAAAGTTCCATCATGTACAAAGAAGTCGCAACTAAACATTTTTAACAATAACCCGATAACTTGGGGAAGAACAGCTACGGCGATACAGACAGATATCACAATATAATCAATATAAACTTTAGGTTCAGGTTCAGCTTCAAAACATTAAATTACAATTTTTTTAATAAATTTTATATGTCTTAAATACGCACACGCACATACAAACACACACACACATGTCTATCTGACCTGTAGTTTCAGTCATTACTACGCCATTTATCTGATCACTATGAAACTTTATGCGGTCGTCATCAACACTTGATAGATGGCCTACGGAAAAGAAAATCTCATAAAAAGTTTCGCGATTTACGACACTGTAGAAAGTGAGTAAATCACACGCACATCGAAACAACAACATGTTTTGTTTTATTCGCTTATTTATCCATTCGACCAATGAGATTCAAAATATTAGATGTAAACAAGACGTCACGATAACATAATGTAAACAAAGCAACACAAAAGTAAACAAGATAATAGCGCTCTCGATGTTTATTTACACTTAACTATGAAAATTCTTTTTTATAACTTGTTTTTTTTTATTATTATTTTTTATTTTACAGCAAAGCGTGGCGGGTAAGCTGGTACTATATTTATATACATACGTACACGTACTGCTCTGCCATCTAGGGTAACAGTTCAAATTGCCACATAAATCTATTTATACAATTTAAATAGACGTGATTTGACCAAATCTTTTAATCAGTTGAATAAAATATTAAACATAAAACAAATATATGTTTTCCGATTAACATCTCTTTTTTATAAAATTGTTATAACTAATTATTTTATATTTTTAAGTATATTCTAAACTTTTCAAATTCTTATTCTAATTCACTAAGAAAAAATTTTGACGATCAATTACCCAACTGGCATACCAAAACCTATAAAAACAGTTCGATACCTTTCGGTGTAGAATAATTTATAATCAAATTTAATTCTCTCTAATTAAAAATAAATTCCTTAAGTTTAATACATTTCATAATCATGGACAGAAATTTAAATTGAAAAAATTGTTTAGAATTTAAACTTTGAATTGTGTCAGTTGTACGGAAACCAACATGAAAATGCTCCGGTGGATGCAACGAATTAGTCTGAAGGACCACATCAAATCTACCGAAATCCTGCGTCGTGCTGGTTTAGATGATATAAAGGACGAATGCCGGCAACACCGTCTGCGGTGGTTTGGTCATGTCAAACGAAGTAGAAACAGTGCCATAACTTCTCATGCAGATGTTGAAGTACCTGGCACACGTCCCAAAGGCCATCCAAAGAAGTCCTGGTTGCAAACAATTGAGCAAGACATGAAAGCTCTAAATTTAAATGAAATGGATACAACTGATCGTCTAATTTGGCGCAAAAAGTTTATGGCAAAGAAAACAACGTCCTACCTCGGGGAACCGGGTCTCTGGACGCAAAACGAAGATTGATTGATTGTACGGAAACATTCAAATACCATTTCACCGGTTGATTGTTGATCGCAGAGCTGAAATTTTATTTTACTATTACGTTGATCCTGTCGGCGAATGAGATTGTATGTGAATGAAAGATTGAATGAATGAATGAACGAACGAACAAACGTAAGGACGGATGAATAATTTCCAATGCGGCCCTCACAGCAAAGTTTTCTTACCTCCGACATACATGCATCATACATAAATATTTATCCTCAAAATGCTTATTTAGGAAATAGCGGATGCGAATAATGAGCAGCGTGGATGCGGGCGGTTGCGGACTTTAACTCTGCGGGTGAGGGCAATTTGGAAAATTTTTCTCTGCTTGGGACTCTAATAGCAAGCCTATGAATGAATTGACGCGGTGATTTGATGTGGCCACACCACACACAACCATGACCCACCGAACAATCAGTGGTGTCTGATTGTGATAAATTTAGCAGATCAAATATTATCTTAGAAAAATTTTAGTAGCACATTTACCGAAGCGCTTTTAATTTTGTTTTAATTTTGTGTTGACGCGCCGTTGCAATGATCTTTCCACAATGTCTACTAATTTGGCAACAAATAAACTTTTTAGCCACGAAGACTGTTCATCAACTTTAAACAACATACATGCAGATGTACTATGCTATTTTATCAACATTTACTTGTTATTAAAAAAAATTGAAAAATTTATGTCTTTTGAATTGTTATCTAAAGTAGCATTGTTTAAAATTTTGATGAACTTTGAACAAGATTAATTATTCCACGAAAACAAAAAACGTAATTAACAAAGTTGCTAGTAGAGATAGGATTAAAAAAAATTAAAGCTCGGTTTCGAGGTGTCTGCTTGTAAGTTTATATACATCTCGTCTACTTTTACTTTCATTGGCGTTGAAGTTTGTTTTCGAAATGTCTTTTGTTGAAAGCAAAAAATTTGATTTTATTGGTCGTGTCGCTGGTGGAGAAATTCTTTCCGATGATGTGGATGTGTGTGCTAGCGGTATATAACAATTCGCGTTAGTGCTAGTTCCGGAACGTCTTGAAAACTTCATTTTATTTGGATGAAATTTTGTACTACTGATTGTGGGTGATATCAAATCTCCAATGCCACCACCACCAGTTCGCGTTTTTGATAAATTCTTGATGGTTGGTTTACTTACAAATGAAGGATTAGTTCGATAAACACTTGGCAAATGATTAGCGTCGACAGGCTGAGATAATTTTTCAAAATGAGAATTTTTGTAAGTGTATTTTAAAATTTGGCTTTTATCAACAAATTTTCGCTTTTTTATCAAATTGAAATGTCTTGCAATGTTATTTTTCGTCCGATTGTTGTAGTGTTTGGACCCGATGTTTAAACTCTTGTCAATGTTTTTTACGGCATTCAATGAAGTCAACCCTCCATCAGATAGTTTGTTACGATTATTCATTGTAATTCCTCTTCTGAATTCATTGCTGGTCAACGATTTCATGCCAGTGCTTTCAGTATTTGTACGTGAATCGGTGAAACTTTTTAATCCGGTTTTACTCGGTTCAGCTGATGAGCTTTGCAGCTTAGAAATCTGTCTGGAGCCAGAAGATTTTGATAAACTTTCTGAAATTATTCTGCCTTTAGAATCATCGCTTCTTCCGATCAGTGGTATTTCACTGTTATCTCTTGAAATAAGACTTGTAACTGAATTTCTGAAACTATTCTCGGTAACGTAATCTAAATTTGGTTCAGGTTTTGTTGCTGAAAAAGCACTCGATGTTGAAATTTGACTTGAACCTGGTGAACTAGCTCTTTTTTTTCTCCTCCTTCTTTCACTGTTATCTCTTGAAATAAGACTTGTAACTGAATTTCTAAAACTATTCTCAGTAACGTAATCTAAATTTGGTTCAGGTTTTGTTGCTGAAAAAGCACTCAATGTTGAAATTTGACTTGAACCTGGTGAACTTGCTCTTTTTCTTCTCCTCCTTCTCAGATTTCTGTCTTTCAATCCTAGTTTAAAATGTACATTTTCGGAATATATTGATGAATCAATAGAAGTTTTTTCTTTGCTCTGATCCAAATTTTTTGCATCAAATTCTGCCGAATCAACGAGAAGTACAATTTGTGAACTTGATTTAACTGGACTCCTCAACGTCATTCTAGTTAGATAAATGTCGCTTTCTGGTTGTTTAATTTTGACATTTGGTAATTCAATGGGAGTTTTCATAATAATTCCAGTTTGAAATCCATCACTTTCCAATTGTGGAACCTTGATATCTCCGACCAAACTAGGTTTTTTCTCAAATGTTTTGGAAATCTGGGATGTTTCCTGGTGAAGGCTTGGTGATGGAAGATTTGTTGGAGGAATACTTTTTAATGATTTGTCAGCATCTTTTGTATCTTTTCCTTCCAAATTTTTCTCTGATTCTAATTTCATTTTTGCCTGATCTAATGCGCTCGATAATTTTGTTCTTGATTGTTTTAATTTTGAATCAGTTATTTCTTTACTTGGTTTCAAAGTAGCCGCAGATTGAACAACTTTTTTAGATTCGGATGTCTGTAGAGTTTTTGAATGCGAGCCTGCTAATTTTTGATTTTTTATTATTTCTTTAACCTTTTTCTCATCTAGTTTATCGGCAACTTTCTGCATAACAACGCTCGAGGAATCACTCATACTGGATGTTGGACTAGAAATTTCACTTGCACTGCTACTTCCAATAGAGGAACTGAAAAGCGTGGATCCAGAAGACAAATCTGAAATAGTCGAACCGGAACTTGATTTTTGAGAAACTGGTAATCCTTGTCTCTTTAAAAACGATTTATTTTTTTCTTTCTGCGCCATCTTTATTTTATTATCCAATAAAACTTTGCGAACTGGTTTGAATTCATGCTTTACTCTATGTAGAGCTTTGAGTTCTTTTTTCCATCGTTTAGCATCACTGTCCAGCAATTTATCCGCCCCCTTCACTGTGTAATCTTCCATTGCTTTCTCTTCTTTCAACCTTCGTTTCTTCCTTTCTTCTTCCTCTTTAGCAAGCGTTTCTTCATCTTCCGACTGACTCTCTCCGTGTTTGGGAGCACTTAACAGTTTTTCTTCCTCTTGAATTTCTTTTTTTAGCAATCTCTGTTGAATTAATTTAAACTTTTATTTAATAAAAACTGAAAAAATTGAACAGTATTTAATAAATTTACGCCTCCAAGTCCAATGATAGTTCAATAAAAAGTTACCTTTTCATGGACTGCTTGTTTTTTCTTTGTACAATACCAGTAAGCCAAACAGCTGAATTGATACAAGTAACTATTTAAAAAAACCTCAACCACATAGGCAACAATTTTTAAAGTGAATTGTCAACAAGACGATAAGCAGATAAGATAAATCGCAACGAACATTTTAATACTAACCCGATAACTTGAAGGAGAATAGCTACGGCGATGCAGCAAAATATGAGAACATAATCAACAGAAGTTCCAAGGTCCCGATCAGGTTCACCTTCAAAAAATGTAAATAAGTTTTCTAGCAAATTACATACATACATGCATATAAATATACATACATATAATTAAAAAGTATGTACCAGTAGATAAATAAATGAATGAAAGTTTAAATAAGTAAAGAAGAGGCAGTAGGCAGGCAAGCAAGCACTAACGAACGCAGGTGGCTTGTGCATGTGCAGTTGGGAGACATCGGCAGTAGTAGGATCCTATGGTGTTGATGCAGGCTGATTGGCTGTAATCACACGTAGCTGTCAGTTCTTTGCACTCGTCCACGTCTGTTTATAACCATCACGAAAGAAGCATTTTTTAACTTAAGAAAAATGAATTTCCGTTTATTATTGTAAATCTGCGACAATAATAAACAACCCTCGCATTCAACTGCTGAATCAACTTTTGAAACGTATCCTGTGGCACAGACGCATTTGTAGGAGCCAGGCGTGTTCAAGCAGGAAGATGTTACGTGATCACAAAACACTATGCTGCCTCTACATTCGTCAATATCTGAAATACATTGCATACACCGATACGTAATAAACATCGAACAGATGATATTAAGCGAATAATTATGCCAATAGAATGGTTACTGTTAATCTCTCATAATGTATTCATTACTCAGTGTTATTAAGGACGTAACACTGAAAATTTGAATATGTATGAACCAACGCATCTTTGTGTAATATAGGTGGAGATGATTTCTTTGCCTTCACACCTGGTCACTGCGACAAATGCCTTAAACTATTTCATGATACCTCATTTCGCCGTCCAATACAGAAAATAAAAGTTTGATGGTAGAAAGAAACTGGATAGTAGAAAACTGTTGAGTGTGCGTGCATGAAATGTTGAACAAGGCAGGCAATTAAAAGTAATAAAGTTTTAACAATTAATATAGAAAGAGCAAAACTCCAACAAACGTTTTATTAAACAAATGTTATACTTGACGTAAATACATATTTGGCCATTTTGGGAAAACTATTGAGCATTTAAACAAGGCATAAAAAATTGAAATATTATGCAATCTTATTTCTATAGAACTTTAAAAAATATAGGTGAATAAGAAGTAAGAATAGAAGAAGAAGAAATTGTAGAGGAATAGGAACAACTCTCACTGACCTACCGACGCATGTCTGCCCGTCCTTCATCTCATGGAAGCCAGGTTTGCACCTGCAGACGTAACTACCTGCCGTGTTCACGCACGCTGTCGACGTTCTGTCGCATTTGTCTGCCTTCGTCACGCATTCATCGATGTCTGCACTCAACAACCATTGGAAAAAAAACAATTCATTTTCAAAATTAAGACAAATTTAATCTCCAAATGTTATTTTATAAAGAGCATTCAGTGAAACAAATGAAGTAGACTGAAATTAGTTTAAAAATATTTTTTACAAACGTAAAATAACGGCAGTTAAATATAAATTTTATATAAATCGCCTATAGAATAAATTTTGGAATTGTTGGCCAATGGCAACTTATGTCCTTAATAAATAATAGTTGAGTTCAACATCAAACCTTGGCAGATATGGAAAGACTTGGTTATGTTTTCAAAGCCAGAGTTGCACTTGCAATGGAAGGAGCCGTACGTGTTGACGCAAATCGCTGATTTGACGTCGCATACATTTTCTACTGTTTGGCATTCATCCAGGTCTGATGAAAAAAATTAATCATATTTAAATTATATTAATTATATTTAATTAATTATAATGAATCACATTGACGAAGTTATCATCATGCCATCACACTATTGTAATCATCACATCATCGTTTGAACATCGCCAAAAATATTCATCATATCAAAACGAAACGAAATTGTCGCCATAATAACACCTAGCCCTCCCCTACCTTCACACGTAAAGCCAGCGTCGTTGATGTTGGTGAAGCCTTTGACACAGGTGCAGTAGTAACTACCTAGCAACAAATGACACACGTCACATAACACGCCACACAACATGACATAAAAAAAACATAACTGGCGAGAAAGAAAAGTATTTTTGCCCCAATAAAAAATATTAAAACTCAATCTAAAATCAAAATACAACACGACATAAGTCACGCATTAAGCTAGATGTAATTGAAAATTCTTAAATAACTTGATTGAATTCAGATTGTGCAAGCGTTATTGGCCTTATCATAATTTTATAACTATAATAAACAAATACTACTAAATGAGCATTACTTAAAATCTCGTTCTTAAATCTGACAGCATACTGAAAAGATTGCGATATTGATATTAATGGATATATCATAAAAAGTAAAGTTTACTCACCAGGTGTATTACGGCATTCAGTCGTCTCCAGGTCGCATTTGTTTAGGTCTTTCAGTAAACATTCATCTATATCTTTGCATGATATCATATATATATTTTCACCAATATATATGAATATATATATATATATATATATATTATATATATATCACATTAGGTCATAATGACGCAACCACTTTATAACGTACGCAATAGGCAATTATTTATTTTTATAAATGACCAGAATAACTTGTCAGCAGCAAACTTTTTAACCTTTGATCATTAATAGTCTAATGTACTTACATTAAGACATAATGATATTTTGAATTTTAAGTTGTAAAAATTAATGAAGCAAAAAAAACTTGGACAGGAATGCGCATAAATATCTTATTAGACCGTACGAGTTAACGATCCATAAGTTGCATCGTCGTAAGATTAGTTTAAATTTGTTGAAACAAACCCTGGCAGTCAAGTTCGGAGAATGGTTTGAAGCCAGTCCTGCAGAGGCATTGGTAGCCCCCGAAAGAATTGACGCAGTGAGTCGATATTGGATCACAGCCATGACCCACCAAACATTCGTTGATGTCTGATGATGATGATGGAGTTAACGGGTAAAATTACTAAAATTTTATCTTAGAAAACTTTTAGTAGCATTTGATTTTGTCAGCGCAATTCATTTTGGAAAATGCAAAGCTGTTGTCTAAATATTTTCTATTAATTTGGTTACAAATCAGCTTTTCTGCCACACAACCTACGTGTTCATACTTTTGTGCACATAAGTCATGTTTGAGTTTCAGACAGACAACATTCGAACCAGGTGATGGCGCAATAACTACACGAGGTATGGCACTTCTACCGTCTGAGCTAACTCAACGATTGTAAGACTATTTATGATCGTATATGTGAGATGTATAAATAAAAAGAAGATGGATCACATTTGAGTAAGCCCTTTACAAACGAAACGTTTGCGTATCAGCAAGTTAGGGCAGAATAAAACACGCACGCACATTCCGTTAAAGTTCAAACACGTTAGTTAATTTAATTATATTGAGATTAAGTGGCTATGTAACGCAAACAATAAATAAATAGAAGTTTTATTAATAATTAATTAATTAACGATATCGACCTTCACATTTGTCGATATTTTTTTGTGATTTCATGAACCTGTCCTTACACCGGCAGTAATATGAGCCCTCTGTGTTGATGCATTCTGAGGTGGTGGTTGGGTCACAGGGTTTCTTGTAATGGCACTCGTTAAAATCTGGGGTGTGTGTTGTAATGGCTTCAACAAACGTGAAAAGTCGTCCATGTGTTATAAATATTCACGAAAGAAGTTGAGTTCAGACCAGTTTGCATGCAAAAAAACTTCACAAAATCACTAATCAATCTATAAATAAGTATGACAGTGTTTCAACGACTTAAGCAAGAATCAAGAAATCAATGGAAGATGCGTTAACAAAGCACAACAATCCAACAATTCAGCAGACCAAATGAACAAATTGAACCACGACCTTCGCACATATCTGGCGATTTGGACTTGTTATAGTAGCCAACACTACATCTGCAATGGTAACTTCCAAACGTGTTGACGCATTTTGTTGAAGGCGTGTAACATTTGTTGATGCCTGCGCATTCGTCGATGTCTGGCGAGGCAGAAATTTCAAAATTAATTTCATCTTAAGTGGGCCATTTTAGCTAATAAAATTTTACTTCGTTATAAACAATACGTTGAATGACTAAATTAAATATTTAGAACTTAAACTTATCAAAGCCAAAGAATGAATGAATGATTAAGTGAGTGAGTGAGTGAGTGAGTGAGTGAGTGAGTGAGTGAGTGAGTGAGTGAGTGAGTGAGTGAGTGAGTGAGTGAGTGAGTGAGTGAATGAATGACTGATTGATTAATTGAATAAATAATTTAATCTGAATGATTGATTGAATTATTTAATGAATGATTGATTGAACAAATGAATGAACAAAAACACACAAACAAACAAACATATGAACGAACCAATGAACGAACAAATGAACGAATGAATGAATATCACAATCGGAAACCTTCACAGATGAGTTTGTTGCTGGATATATGTTGGAATCCTACCTTACAAACACATCTGTAGGAGCCGATGATGTTTTCGCAGTAACTCGTCTGTTTGTCACACTTGTCTATTTTCAGTGCGCATTCATTTATGTCTGCTCATTTTTTTTAAAATAAGTTTATTCTACTATATATGAATATGAATGTGGTAAGTAATTTATATTATAATAATATAATTATAATTATTATAATTACTATTTATATTACTACTATTATGATATATTAAAATTAAATAGTAAAAATAAAATAAAAAGTTAACAACTCATTCTCACCTTGTGAAGAACCCAACCTATGGAAAAGAAATGATATAATCGTTAGAATGACAAAATTTTTAATGTTCATGGTCCAACAAGAGTCGATATGAAAAAAGACTTATTCAGTTTCATCGTTTATTCCTAATTGTTAGTTAACACTTGCTTCTGTTTTTGTTTACGAATTCAAAATTCAAAACATTATAACAACGTCATAGTTAAAAGTTAACATTTTTCTTAAAATAATATTGCTGTCATAACTGAAAACTTCTAGACTCGTATACTTGGAATACAATTGCAGAGAAACTCCGAACTTTATTTAATGATAATTATAGTCTGTTTAAAAAACTAACTATTTTCGTTTTATAGATATGACAATATCTCAATCAAGCAAGAAACTTCAATTGATTTTTTAATATGGATAAATAAAACTGTAAATTAGCAGTTTGTTGGTGTTTTATTTAACAATTTGATTGAGAGAGAGGAATCTTTAATGTGATTGCATAACAACGAGCATCCCTTTAATGCAAATGCAATCCAGGTGCATGGCTGAAATAAATTGAACTCTCCGGCACATCACTGGTAGGCATTTAAAAAGCGCTCAAATCAAAATTAACTTTCTCCTCATTCACGCCAATGTTAGAGATATATTAGAGGCTAGTTAAACCGTAGGCTGTGAGCTGATAATTTCGCATTAATTTCATTTTTCGTGTTTTTTCTATTTAAAAAAATTAATTTTCGCAAAAATTTTAGGAACTTAAATATCTGTTTAAAACTAAAATGGAGCGCATTAAAGAAAATTTGGGGAAAAATAAACAAAAAAAGTCAACAGGTGGTAGGCGGAGATCCAAATCTTCTAACATGATAGATTTCAATCTGGCCGATTCAGAGAAACAAAAAACACCCGAAAATAAGAAAACATTTTTACAACGGTCTTCAAGTTTCTTGAGCAAATTAGGCAGAAGTTTGAGTCCTCGTGGAAGGGATAATGATTTAAGGAGTTCTGGTAGTCCGAGTGCCGGTGAGCAAAGCTCTGGTGGTGGTAGCTCATTGGATTCGACAACAGTGATAGCAAATGCTTCAGCCGACCCTGATTCTTGGCTCAACAAAAATGATTCTCCAAATGTAAAAAATAATGGGGGCCTCAAAGCAGAAAGATCGAGATTGCTGTCTCCTAAATTTTTTAAAAGCCACAAATCAAAATCCAGCAAGGCAGCAAGTAAATCTCAGAAAAATAATGAAATCGGTTATGTGGATTGCTCTGATGAGTTGAATGAATTAAAAATTTTCAAGTCGACCAGAAGTTATTTTCCATCTTTAATATCACCCCCAAGAGACGATTTTGCATTCCAAAACTCAGATGATAATGATGTCATTCAAAATGGGAATTTGATCATGGAAAATTTTGATGGTTTACAAGAAGATGTGATATGTAACAACAATGCAGTGTTTCCAATGGACGTTGAAGAGGAACCAGTAGAATATGAACATTGCAATGACCACAAGATTGATGCCAATGTGGTTATAAAAAATCCATCATTCTCCGACCACCGACAGCCACAAACTTCATTCAACATCAACAGACAACCCACACCTAACAGCAATATCGTGTTCAGACACGTGATTGGTGGCCGACTTAGCGACATATCTGAAGAGTCGTGCGTTAGCGATGTGAGGATGTCGTCAAATCCTTCCATGGATGTCATCAAAGAAGTCGATGACATCGGTTGGCAGGTACAGGAGGAAACACTTGTGCAGAATGATGTCGATGACGATGATGAGGATGAGGGTGAAGAAAGGAAAGTTAGCTCATTTGCATCAGGTCTGATTCCCATAATGTTACATTATTACTTTTCAGTTCATTTTATTTTATTTCATTGCATGTAATTTATTATTTCAAACTTTCAATTGGCTGAATTTTATTTTCCAGCCTGCATTAAATAAATAAATAATTAAATAAGTGAATAAACACTCATCTGCTGTTTAACTTGATTTATCACTTTGGGAGATTGAAAGTTTTAAATTATGCTTATATGTTTGTATATACATACATTACATAGGCAGTTGTGTTTCATGTTTCACATAGGCAGTTATACACACATATTTACTTTGTGTTTTACATATATATCATGTATTGAATATCATTGTTTTAAAGGCAGAATAAACAACAACATAGAAAGTTATTTATATTTTATTATATGATGTAACTGATTGATTCATTCATGCCCAGCTTATGATTTTGCATTTTATGATTCATGTGCAAATTTTATGTTTGTGTGGTGTGTGTGTGTGTGTGTGTGGTGTTGAGTTTTGTGTGTTGTTATGTGTGTTGCATGCATGAATGAATGTTTAACACTATCAACAACCACAAAAACTCATGAGAACTGGAAACTGTTTCACACATGTCTCACATACACCTTGCTCACTCTAGCACACAAGAAAATCGCGCCAAACAACGTACATAATACATTCGAAACACACACACACACTTACACACATGCTTAATGTGTGTTTTGTTTGAACATTTAGTGTTCTGCACAATTGTGCTGTGCAATGAAAGAGTTCTTTAATTTGTTGTGTGTTGTTTTTTGTGCCATTGTCATTGTTTGCATGCAAACGTGTAAGTTTCCATTCCATTCCACGAGTGGGTTTGCGTGCGTGTGCATGTGTGCACGTCATCATAGGTTTCCCTAGAAGAAACCACATACAAATTTTGAATGCTTTCAGCTTTCATTTCATGCCAGTTAACCTCTTGACCTCAAATTGGTGAGGTTGAATTGGGTATTTAGTTTTTCTTTTTAACCCTATTCATTAATGCCCACACACTTACACACACACAAACAAACACACACACGCGCACACATACCCAATGAGTAAATACATACACATACATTTTACATTATTAATTGTTGAGTTTATACTGCATGCTCATGTTTGCGTTAGTGTTTGGATACTGATAACTAAACATTTGTAAATACATACACTATCACACGTGTGTATGTGCGTGTGTTTGTGTATGTGCGTGTGTGTGTGTGTTTGTGTATGTGCCAACGAACACGTGTGTGCGGTGTAATTTTGTGTGTTCTTAATAATCTGCCTAACCTTTCTGTGTTTGTGTATGAACTTTTCTATCTGCTCTGCCTGTCATTTCAATTATCTTCATGATCGTGTTCGCCGGCTGACACACCACAATGTTAACAAACCCATGGGCTGTCTGTCTGCTCATCTACCTATATGTATGTATATGTACTGTTGTTTGTACGTGTGTTTTTGGGTGTTTTTTTCAAATCTTTAAATCTGATTATGCTTGTGACATTTTCTTTATGTATGTTTATACATATTCATTCATTGTCGAGTTTTGCATTTGGTTCCATGTATTTTTTCGCCATGTTTGTTTAGACAGTTTGTATTTGCATCAAGTTCAATGAACATTTTATGATCACCAATGTGTTGTCATTGTTGTATTTGTTTTTCACTGTGATTTAAGGCTGAGAAATATGGTGATGTTTGATGGGGGAGATGTTTTCTGAATGGTGAAGATAAGAGAGTTTCATCGTGAAAGGAAGATAATCATGATTGTGATGAGATGATGTTAGTGAAAACTGTTTAATTGTTTTGAGTGAATGAGTTAATAAATAAGTAAATTTACTGATTGATTGAATAAATGAATGATTGAATTAATGATTGAATGAATAAATGAATGAATGAGTGAATGAATGAGAGAGTGATTTAGTACATTTCTCAGTTGTTGAGTAGAATGTTTTATTGTCGTAAAAGCTGTTACATTACAAGGCTATTAAAGTGATTCCATGTTTTTGTTTATATTCACATCACATTTAAGAGTGCCATGTACACTCTGGAGATTTGAATTAGATGTGGAGAGAGAGAGAGAGAGAGTTTGTGTGTGTGTGTGTGTGGGTGTGTGTGTGTTATGTGTCTTTTTTATAGCTGTTATTTTTCTTTTATTATCATCGATGTTATCACTCTTTTTAATGATGTTCATGTTATCTTTTCATGTATTTTGCATTATAGTGTCATGTCATTTTAGGTAAGGTGTCAATTTCTTGCTTGTTAGGACTTTATTGCTATTGTTGGTTTCGTTTTGTTTTGTTACTTTTGTGGTTGTTGTTGTTATTATTATTGTTATTTTTATTATTGAGACTGTTTTTGTTATTCTTGTTGTTGCGTTGTGTTTATTATCACCAATTTGTTTTGCCTTTAATATTTTTGTTTGATTTCTAATGCGTATGTTAATTTTGTGGAAGTTAATGTTTCTTTGATTGCTATTGTAGTTATTTATAACAATAACAACAATAATAATTATTATTATTATTTTGTTGTTGTTGATGTTGCTCACATTTGTTACAGTTTAACAATGGAATAATGACAGCACTTAATAGCCATTAAAGGCAGAGGGTGGTGACTTGACACTGTTATCATTAACATCATTACTTCTGCTGTTCTTATCATCATCACCATCATCATCGTCACCGTTTAGTATCTTGCTTGGATTTTACTCTACCTACTATTACTGATACTGCTGCTGCTGCTTTTACTACTACTACTGCTGATGTTGCTACAACTGCTGCTGCTATGGTCGCTGCTGTTACTGATACTACTACTACTACTACTACTCTTGTCATTATTACTACTAATATTACTGTTATTATTTATATTTTTGTGTTGTTATTATTATTATTATACTTTTAAGATATTTAAAGAAGAAAATTTTTAAAATGTTATCAATCACTGACATCAGGGCAAATACTTTTTGCTATATTTGCATCTCTCTTCATAACATTTGCAATAAATATTATTATCTCGGGTTCTCTCTCCACTAACAGTCAATACCTACACAGGAAAACAACATAAGCTACTTAAATAATTTAAATAATATTTTCTCTCAAAATGCCAACTGGACAAACGTCTAATCCAAACCCATTTACAACAAAATACAACACAGATCAATAACTCTTTAAGTTATCGCAATATTGATAATGCAATAAAATTAACAACAGCATTACAACAAAAACAATCAGACAAGACGTACAACTATTGTAGATACAGTTACAATCACACAGTCATTCATACAACGACAACAACAGCAGCAGCAGCAACAACAACAACAACAGTACTACTACAAAGTACTTACAAGTACCTTCAATCATAGTTAACGTCCATGAGTCACTGGATGACTTTACATTAACGACATTATGCAGATCAACAAAATTATACAATATTGTATATATGTATATACGCGCACATGCACACACACACACACACACACACACACACACACACATATATATATATATATATATATATATATGCATATACGCGCACATGCATGTATATGTATAATGTTGAGCTATTATAAATTGTCCTCTTATGTCCTTACGGTATGTTTATGTTATGTTTATGTTATATTATGTTATGTTATAGTATGGTATGGTATGGTATGAGTTTTATAGCGGTTGGTTAGAGATGTTTAATTTTTGGTTTAACTGTGCTTGTGTTGGGGTTATTTTATGTTTATTTCACCATTTCCTTTGTTAGGCTAATGATGTGCGTGGTTACTGCCATACTGGAGTGTACTACTATACCGCCCTGTTCAACACTACTACATATATCGCTACTGCTACTTCTAGTAATATTACTTATTATATTGATAAACGTTTATGATAAATACAAACAAAGATGCCTAAACCAATAATCACTGATGACACAACATTAATACTCTCTCATCTACTTTGTGACATTTTGTCTTAAACACACAAACACACACAAGCGCATGCATTCACAAACATACATGCATACATGCATACATACATACATACATGCATTCATTGATTCATACAAACATACTGACACATCGCTTGACACACACACACACACACACACACACTTTACATTACAACAATGCATATGGTGCTTACATATCTTAGTGTTGTAGAGAGTTGTACCATGGCTGAAAAACGTGCGTATGTGTGTGTGCTAGAAAACAACACGTACACAACACACTTATTTATGTACATATATATATTTGAGTGTGTGTTGCATGCCTTTATTGTTATGTATGTCATTTGTTGTTTTCCTGAGTATGTATGTGTATAACTATGCATATTTGTTTGTAGGTATGAATGCAAGTTTGTATTCATATATGCGTGTTTGGGTATATCTATCTTTGTATGAATGCTCGTATGTGTATATATGTATGTATGCATGTATATAGGTGTGTATGTTTGTTTGTATGCGTGTCTGTATGTATGTGATACTAATATTGAGATATCATTGTTGTTTATCATTCTTATATACATCACATTATATTTTTATGTAATTTTAAAAATTATTGTTTGCATATTTGCATCTAATTTGACTCTTGTGTGTGTATGTATATTGAGGCTAATATCTTGTGTATATAATTGTCCTTTGATGTGTGTGTTTCTGTTTTTTTGTATCTGTATGTATATACATATATATTATATATATACATACATACATATAGTATAATATCATATTTTGTATTGTTGATGAAGCTTCATTCCTTCTCCTTCTTTAACGTGGAAGCTTCATTCCTTTTCCTTCATTCCTATTTGATGATGGTTACATTTAATGACAATGATGTTATTGATGTTTTAGGTGTATTGCTGTTGTTGTTCTCTAAGTACATATGCATGTTCGTGTGCTTAATTTGTTCTCTGTATTATGCACCGATTGCACTTGTTTTGTGTGCCGTGCATGTGATATATGTTTTTATGTATGTTTTTTTTGTACGTACACGTTAATGTATGTATGTTTGTATTTTTGTTTATATTTGTATATGTATGTATAATGTTTGTTTGTATGTAATTGTATATCTATGTGTGCATGATGTACGTATACATGTATACGTGCATGTGATATTTATGAATGCATGTGCTGGGATATGTACGTGCATTGATATAATGATGCATGGATATATATAGGTATGTATGTGTGCATAGGTATGCGTGTATGTATATGCAGATAATGTATGTGATGGTAGTTGCTGTCCCTTTGTTTCCCGCAGTTGTTTTATTGTTGGATGCGCTGATTCCTTAATTCGTCCGTTGTACAGTTCAGTTATGTTGTGTTGCCTTACGTTACGTTACGTTACGTTACGCAATGTGACGTTTTACAGATCTTCAACACATGACGTTATTTTGTAATGTTCTGTGTCATTATGGTGTGATTCTACGTGTTCTTCTATCGTAATATTGTGTGTTGTTGTATTGTAATGTTGTTATTTTGGTAGTTGCAGGTTTCATGTTGTCTTGTAAAGTGCTGTTGTTGTTAGATTTTGCTATGGTGTTGTGTTTGCTTGTCGTTATCTTTGGTGAAATGTTTTTGAAGAATTTTCATAGCATCAAGCATAATGCATTAAACATTTAAGATACATACATAAAACGCGCAACTCATGCATGCATAGATTTAAACACACATCCATAGGTGCATGCATTCATACACACATGCATACGTTGATACAAAATATACAAACAAATATTCATAATAACAATTATCAAACCGAATCTGTTTATATTCATTTTATATAGGCATATGTATTCAAGTTATTTATTCTTCTATTAATTGCTCATTGATTTATCTTGCTTCTTATACACAAACATACATACATCAAACACACAGACACGCATATGTAAACACATACATTTGTGTGTGTGTGTATATTGGTTTTTATACATCGTTTGAACTAATTTTGCTACCTGGTTTATCTCAGGCACGTAATAATAATAACAATAATAACAATAGCAGTACTAATTATTAAGTAAATTATTTTATAAACTGTTAATAATACTACTTATAACAACGTTATTAATATAAAGAAGAAGAAGAAATCCATCTTAATAATAATTATAATGATAAATCAGTTATGTGGCAAATATACCATACATACAATACAATACATACATTGTATTTAACTTGTTATAGGTAGGAATGGTGGAAATTGAATAAACTTGTTAGCAGTGTTTCTCTTTATATATTTCTACATGTTGTTAGTTGTTGTTGTTGTTGATGCAGTTGCCGTTATCGTTGTTGCTATCGTTGCTGATGTTATTGCTGTTATTGTTTGTTGTTGTTATTACTGTTAGTTACTGTTTACCTTAGATTTGTATAGATATGTATAAATTTAATTATAATTAATTCTAACTTTAAGATGATAAGTTACTAGCTTTTTTTTATTGACGGTAATAATTGTTTTCCATGATTGATTGGTTAATTAGTTAGTTAATTAATTAATTAAATTATTTATTTTTTATAGAACGAGGTTAATAATAAAAAAAATAATTAAATAGCTATATTGTTATTAAGCTTATTAAATTTTTTAAGTTTTGACTTATAATAGGTTAATTAAATCTCATGTAAAAATGGGTTAGTTTATGCTTACATGTAAGTTAATTAGTTAACTAGATAATTAATTAACCGCTTAGTTAGTCATTTAATGAAATAATTTTATTGATTGCAATGTTATGTGATAAACTGGTCGCGGGTTAGCATTGTTAATATCATAATTATTTCTTTTTTTTAAATATTATTTTTCTATTTTTTATTGATTTTATGTTATGTTTCTATGCATTTTAAAGACAATTATTGTCTTTATGTGTTAATTTTCATTCTTAATTTTACTTCAAACGCATTTTGTTATATTAAACAATAGCCCTGGTGTTTTTAACTGATAAATTTTTAATTTGTGTATAACCAAAATGATTATAGTTGTATGGTTTTTGGATTAATGCTCTTTATAATTTAATTATCTTTAATTGTTTGGTTAATGATATTAAACTTTTATAATAATAATAATAATAATTATTATTATTATTTAATGTTTGAAAATTTTATTTGTATTTCTGCGTGATCTTTTTTTTTCTCTAAATAAATTTTCCATTCTTATTCTTAGTTTTCCTTTTATCCATTCATTCATTCATTCATTCATTCATTCATTCATTCATTCATTCATACGTTCGTTGGCATATTCTTTTTATCTGCTTATGGGCCAGCAGTGCTACAAATAGCTTGATAAAGAATGTGATGATAAACATGTGTCTAGTTCTGGACCATATTCTACTTCCTTCTTATTTTTCCCTGTCATTTCTCTCTTTCTCCTTTCTCTCTCTTTTTCTTTTTTTCAATTTTTCTTTTCTTTATATCTCTATTTTTGCTTTTTGTTTATCTTTGCCTTCTTTCCTTATTCAAGTTTTTTTTGTTTTACATATTTATTCTGCAAAGTTCTGCCTTATAAACATTTTTTTCGCACTTAATTATTTTCATAAGTTTTTCACTAACTCAACTCCAGTATTGATGTGTTGTGTATAAATTATTTTGTGTGTGTTGTGTATTGTGTGTGTGTGTGAGTGTGTGTGTGTGAGTGTGTGTGTGTGAGTGTGTGTATGTGATTTAGAGTAAGAGAGTAAGATAATAATGTTGATGATGAAATGGACGGATAATATTATTATCATTTTTTCCCTCCATGATGGTTTCGATCGAAGTTTTATTTTTTATTCGTCGACATTACATGCTGCATATTTCATGAAATTATTTCCTTCTTTGTTTTTAAACTCGCGTCATTCACTCTCATCACTTCTACCAACAGCTACATCAGCTTTCACTGCTAGGACATCGAGACGTCAACAGCCTAATGGCCGACGACAGCAGCAATTGCAGCAGCAACAACAACAACAACTAAAATTGCATCAACAACAGCAGCCACACCAGCAACAACAACAACTAAAATGGCATCAACAACAACAACCGCAGCAGCAGCAACAACAACAGCAACGTCAACTGTTTTCTTCAAACAGTGACTCAACTTTAATGCACAACAACAGTGGTACAAGTAGTGGCAGTCAAGCGACGAACACCTCACACCTCAGCAGTAATAGCAATAGCAGTGTCAGTAATGCTAATAAAAACGTCGACAAGCGTTACAATTCCAGCGGTAATGTGCCTGCTGTAAATAATAAAACAAACAGCCTGTTCAATCATCTTGCCACTACTACTACTCAACAAAATTGCAATTCAAAGAGAACGAAAATCTCCGTGCAACGTACGAAACAGCAACATTCGACAAGCAACCAGCTACAAATTAATGGCATGCCACATTCAACAAGCAACCAGCAACCAGTTAATGGCATGCAACATTCAACAAACTGCCTGCACCATCAACAAAACTGCCAACATCGTTTGCAACAACAACACCACAAACAACAACAACAATATCAGCAGCAGCAGCAACAACAGCTACTACATCATCAGCAACATCAATTGCAACAGCCACAACAACGTGGGGTGAGTATTATAAATTCTACATTTATAAAAAAAATCATCTAAATTGTTATTTTCTTGTGTATATAAATATCTTTTTCTAAGTTCCTCAGTATTAATAAAATTATTTGCTTGTTATTTGTTTTCCCAACATTTCTACTTGTTTTTATTAATATAATTCCATGTAAGTGTGTCACTACTTTTGATAACCATTTGCCTGGTATAAGTATTGTGTAAGAGATATATATATATATATATATCTGTGTGTGTGTGTGTGTGTGTGTGTGCTTGCGTGTTTATAAGCATGTTTCAAAGCCAGTTCAGTTCCTTCCTTCGAAAGATGTTGCATTATTTATGAGCTTAATGATGATTCCCAATACATAGCTGAGCGCACATGTGACAGAGGATGGAGAAATTGACACCGTGCTAATATCAATGATGTTGAAGCAGTATTATTTATCTATCTCTGTACTAATTAATTTGCTTCTTATTAGTTTTATTTCATTTACTGAGTTAGCTTAGTCTGTAGAAGTGGCATACCTTGCACTGCCATTACGCGTTAGCATGGTTCGAAGGCTGCCTGAAACTGACAGGCCATCGTGCGCGTTCATTTAGTATGTAGTAATGTTTTTATGTGCGTCATAATAAATTTTATTATTTTTATTGTTATATTTGACAATTTTATGTTACAATTATATTAAATAATAACATTATATTATTTAATAATTTTTTACATTTATATTTTTTTATAGAACCATAGCTCTAGACTCACGTCCTTTAGATCTAGTGTCTCCGAATTGAAGGTTCGTTTCATTTGCATGTTGGCTTTTTTTTATATAATATAAATAATATAATATAAGTTTAATATAATAATATTATTATAAATAATATAATTATTATTATAAATAATATAAGTTTAATATAACAAAATGACAAAATAACATTTCTTATTATCATTGCAGGTTGCAACAACAACAATAACAACAGCAATAATAATAATGATAATAATGATAACAATAATAATAATAATGATAATTATATAAAAAATTATATATAAAAATATTAATAATGATAACAAAAAAAGCGATCAAACAGAATTCTTATTTGCATTACATTTTCAGATCTGATTTTTTGGCAACTAGAGTAACAGGAGTACTAACATTTTTTGCTGATTCTATCACATTTTTATTATTATAATATATTGGTCTGTATTTTGACTGAATGCATTCTTTTGGCAAAAAATTTGATCTTTGAATTTTCAATTGGATTGATTTTTTTTTATGAAACCTACAATTGAGTTTTATGTTTAAAAATGTTTTCTGATAGGAAAATTTCTTCAAATAGAATGAAAGAAATTTATAATTTACAAAGATATTTTTATTTTATAAGAAATTCTAAAACAATACTTCATATTAGAAGCAAAACTTGATGCTTAAGCTAAAACGTTATGTGCTATGGTAAGAAAAAGTTAAGAATATTTGTTTTGTTTGTTGCAGTTTCAATTGTATGCACCAATAACATGTGTCTGTTTTTTCTTTGTTATAAGCAGAACTGCAGTTTGATGAGTTTGTGTTTGATTTTATAAGTTGTGCGTGTGTGTGCGTTTAGTTGTGTGTGTGGTATGTGTATGTGTATATTTGTGTGTGGTGTGTGTATGTGTATGTGTGTGTGTGTATATATTTGTGTGTGGTGTGTGTATGTGTGTGTGAGTGAATACATGTCTTAACGTGCTGCGAATAAAGTTAAAGTGCGTGTGTAAGTATATTGTATGTGTATATATGTACAGTTGTATTTTTGTTTAATACATAAATTTCAAATTAGATTGTCACAGTCGATAAACAAAAAATACAAAAAGCTTAAAATGAAGGTGTAAATTTTATCCAATGAAAAAAAGCTATAAAACACTATTTCAGTTTTCTTTTCAGCTTTTCTGATATAACATTGAAGATAAGCATACAAGCAGGCATACACACACCACACACACACACACACATACACAGGCGCACACAAACACATTATATTGCATATTTAAATTCATACCTATTTACGTCATTAAGATCTATCTCTGTTTAACTATAAATATAAATATTTATGTTCTAAATGTAATAAGGTTTTGGACTCTTCTTCAAACTTATAAGCCAAAAAATTTCAAATCTGTAACCTCTATAACTCAATCATTTGATTGAAATCTTACAAATCCTCTACATTTATTTGCTATTTATTAATAACTGAATAAACGTTTTATAAAGGCGCATATGCCTGGAAGTGCAAATTTGCTTATATATTTATGGATGGCCAGTATGGACATATATATTGTCCATCGGTAGCAAAAAATACTGGACCTTGTATTGCATTAAGTTACACATGTATATATGTATTATGTATGCGTGTGCTTTATTTTATATGTATGCTTGTGCGTTTGTATGTATGTGTGTGTGTGTGTGTGCCTGTATGTATGTAAGTATGATGTATATATATGTGTATGTATGTATGTATGTGTATGTATATATGTATATAATCATTCACTCTCAGCACTCCTTTATTGCAAAATGTCCTCATTGTCTTTGCTGTGTGCGTGCGTAAGGGCTTCTGCGTGCGTGCGTGCATGCGCGTGTGCGTATTTGATTGCTTGGATGCATGCGTGCATCCATTGAGGCAGTATTTGTAAGATAGAGATGAAGATGTCTCATTTTCTTTGATGTTCCTCTCAACTGTTATTTTGATTTAATAATTATTTTCTCAAATAATAATTAAAATAATAATATTATTGTTATTACTAATATTAATAACACGGGTTATTAATAAGGTTTATTTTCTTCTTGCGGCTAATTAATTACAAATGTACAATTTTGGTGATAATTACATTTTTACGCTGGTTTTCTTTTAATTTTTTAGCATCAAAATTAATTTTCATATATGTTTAATGATAGAAATAGTTTATACAACAATTTGAACAAATTAATTATAGATTGATTACTTACTTAATTAATCAATTAATTAGTTTAATATATTATTCATTTATTTGTAACCGTTTTTAATATAGTAATTTGCTCGCTTATCAATAACAATTAAAGTTTCCGAATTGGATACTATTATATATGGGAAGATGTTCTGTTCGTTCATACTTATCAGTAATATGCGATATCTTTCTTAAAAAGTTAACATGTGTAAGTTTATATAAGTCGTCACCATAATCATCGTCATCATTGTTATCATTACCATCTTTCATCATATGGCATATTTTTATCATAACATTATGGCGCCATCGTGGTCATTATCAACTTCATCATCATCTTACACCATCTTCTTCGTAATACCATCCACCATCATCTTTATGATATCATCCTCCTCCATTTTATCACCACGACCATCACCGTTGTCATCGTCATCATCTGCTTCGTTGTCATCTTATGGTATCATTGTTATCGTCGTTATCATTATCGTCTCCTTCGTCATATAGTCATCGTCATCATCATCACTGTTTGCATTCTTCAATTACGTTTATTATCACTCCTTACTGCTCTTGTGTGGAGATGTTTGTAAAAGTTTTAATTAAATCTAGGCGAGATTTCAATTGTTATGCAAATTTGTATTATGCAAATTATTTGTTTCACGGTGTAACAATCTAATTGCACGTGTTTGTAATGTAATTTAATGATGGATGTAAACAATAGAATGCAATTATCTTATTTATTTCTTCTGTGCGTGCGTACACATGTGTTTTGTGTATTATGTATCTATGTGTGTGTGTGTGTTCTGTTGTGTGACAATTTTGTACATAAGTGTGTGTGTATGGGTCTATGTGTTGTTCATGTGTTTGAGTGTGTCATCATTTCATGAACTCAATAATTTCTAATGAACCTGCTTATGTGTATCAATTTGATGTATGTGTATGTACCGTATGTCATACATGTATTATATTAGCGTCAGTGTTGATGCCAATTACTCAGATTAGAGTGATGTCGTTGTTGGCAATTATTCGATATGTGATAACGATGGTGATAACGACCCTGATGATGGTAATGATGATGGTACTGATGGTGATGATGATGGTGGTGGTACTGAAAAAGATGATGATGGTGGTACTGAAAAAGATGATGATGATATCTATATATTTCTTTATTAAGTGAGTCTCCTTGAATCATTCCACTTCTGTTTGCCTTGCATTTAATATCTTTTTAATTGTTTACACTTTACATCATGATATGTTTGTGTAGGAATGCACATGGGGCCCCTATCACGCTCGCGCACACACATACACGAACACACACACAAATAAATACACACACACAAATTCACACACTCGCATACGCATGCATGTTTGTCCCATCGTTTTATTATTTGTTTTGAAGTTGTCTGTGTACGAAAGTAAAGGAATAATGCGTGTATGTGTGTTTGTGTACGTGCGTATTCACTCACGCTCACATCACTGATATAATGTAGAACATTTTTTTACCACTTCAAATGTGGTTTTACTTACGTGTTTTTTAATTTATATATTAAAATGTTTTTAAAAAATTATCAAATCTGTGCTAATCGATGTATGCATGTAGAAATTAAAAAGTAATTTATTGTCAGATGGGTATACGTGTGTGTTTGTTTAGTTGCTTGTGTGCGTGTGTGTGTGTATGTATGTAAGTGTTTGTGCGTAATATTCGCAAATACATAAATACAAATACCCGAATTTCAACCAGACTGAACCAGAGGAGGTTGATTTACATTCTGCGCGGTTGTTGTTTTGGGGTCAACTCATTGCATTCCATGTTTATTTGTATTCTCGTTCTGGTGTTTGCTATTTCACTATCTATTCTCCTCTGTATCATTGCTGTGTAGATGGTTGTTTTAATGATAGATATCTATCTAAAAATTCTTATGTTTGTGTTTTTATCATTTATTCATTCATTCGTTCGTTCGTTCGTTCGTTCATTTATCCATTCATTCATTCACTCGTGTAGAGTTATAAACAACATTATCTTAAATTTCTTTCTTATTAGTCTAAAACTTTATTTGTATATTTAAATTAAATAAATGATAAATTAAATTTAAATATATTTTAGATAGATGCATTCAAGAGCGTTATAATAATCAGTAGCAGTTAACGTTGTTTAATAGCTTCAGCAGTGGACGGAGTCAATAAGATGTCAACTGTTTTTTATTAGATCGGTGGAAATAAGTAGAAAAAATTGATAAAAAATATAGGATACCCAGAGTTATTGGATTGTTGAGAATTTGTCATGTCATCGACCAACTGTTGTAAAGTAAGGCTTTAATGACAGATTCAATGTCACCTATAAATGTTATGAAATTCATTTATACTGGACCACCGGGCCATTTACTACTATGTTCGCTGGTTCATCCGTTCGTTCGTTTGTTTGCATGTATTTTTTGCACATACAACCTAGGCATTGAACAAAAAATATCTATTCACCAAATATGATTTATACCCTTCTAGGAAAGCGAAAAGTATTTGTTGTAATATAGGTGGAGAACATTTATTAGGACCATTGCTGTTGGATCGCGTTGTGTTGAGTTTTGATGCGTTCTCTTGTTGAGTTGTTGCTTTGCCGATTGAGTGATTGAGTGCTGTGTGTTGTGTAGTTGGGTCTGCCGCTGCTGTTGTTGGTTATTTATGTGACTGGTAATAAATATATGGTAGGTTGTTTTGGTCGTTGGCGGGCGGTTTTTTTTCTTTTTGAGAACAAATTTGCTCAATAATGATGATAATAATAATAGGGTTATTTATTGATACTATTCTTTACTCTATAAACTTATTTATCAGCTGTTAAATGTGTGATTGTGTCTATGTACGTTTTTGTGTACCTATGTATGTGTGTGTATGTATGTATGTGTGTGTGTGTGGTGTGTGTGTGAGTGTGTACCTATTTACCTATTAATGTATGTAAATGAGTGTGGTCACATGGTGTGTGTTAACAAACAGCTCTGCTGACTGACTGACTGACAATCAGCGAACGTATGAAGATTAAATTGTCCAATTTTCTATGACAATTAGGTTTCATTGCACGCAAAATAATCATAACGGAGGTAGTTACTTTCACTGTGCTGGTGATGACGTAATTCACTATTATCGTGATGACGTCATGGCTGGCGTCTCATTGGTGATGATGGTGTTTTTAATGTTCTTCATTTATCATCAATCCTTCATGAGTACATTTTCTTGTGACAATACACTGTTTGGTGATAATGTTTTCAAGTGGAGAATTTTTAAACAGTATTTCAATAAGAGCTAAATAGAATTCTTGCCCGTACAAGCACACACACACCACACACACACACTCACACGCACACACACACACACACACACACACACGTACGCACGCACGCACGTTTTAATACATCTAATTTGTTTATACACGTACGTATGCTCCATTTAACATACATGTCGTCCTATAGAAAATGTATTTACATTTGCACGCATTACATATTTACAAAAGTGAATGAAAGAATTTTTTTTTTTTAGAACCTTTGATCCAAAATAAGCACCTTTGCAATTGTGTGTTACCAGGCGTGCATGCTGGAGCATTTTTTCTCGTACTAACTTAAATCATCATCGTTATCTTTATCGGCTTTGTTTTGTTACCACCATATTTATTATCATATTTATTATTATTATTATTATTATTATTGATTGTTATTTTTATTGTGTTTTTATTAATGTTGTTTTATTTTACTTTAATTTTCTAAGAAACTCTTCTTTCAGTTACATTCGTAATGGTTATTTAATGGTTGTTGTTATTCATTCATTTATATTATTATTGTTATTATTATTATTATTATTGTTGTGGTTGTGGTTGTTGTTGTTGTTATTACAATTATGTCTTGCTATTTTAATTTTTATGAATGTTCTCATGGCGTTATCAACTTGTTCTTCGTCGTCGTCCTCATAATTGTCCCCCTTCACTCTCCTTCTTCTGAGTAACGACGTGATCTCGTCACCGTTATCTGGCGCAATCTTCTCAGCTATAATTAGCATTGGTGGCGTGGCGTCGCTGTTGTCGTCGCGTTGTCGTTCTTTGTAATCATCGGTGTGGTCTCATCGTCTTCATCATCATCGTCTTCCTCATCATCTTCAGGTATTTCCATTATTATCGTCGTCGTCGTCATCATCATTCACACTATCCAGGTCGTCGTCATTATCTTCATCACCATCGTTTTTACATCATCTTCA